TTTAAATTTTTCTAAGATTTAGTATTTAAGGCATTTGGGTTTAAATTGCTTGATTTATATATTTTATGGTTCCAAAATTTAGATTTTTGGATTCTTTATTTTATGATGTTAAGGTTTGAATTTTTTTCAAATTTGGCCTTAGTGTGTTAGGATTTAGATTTTTTTAGAGTTTAAGATTTCATATTTAAAAATTTAGGTGTTTAATAATTTAAAAATTAAAAATTAAAAGACCAACAATTAAAATTAAAAAATTTTCACTTAAAAAGAAAGAATAAAAAACTATAGGGACTAATCAACTTGGGTACCGATAGGTGCATAGGGCATTACCCAAGTTTTAGAGAACGGAGGAGTTGATTTGTGTTGTTTTTCCTTTTTTTTTTTTCAACGGTAGTAATAGTTGTATGTAAATTCATCCTGAGTCAATTAAAAGAAGGTTTTTTTAATGCATGCAATTAAATGCACCTTTTAGCTCTAAATTTGTATTGAGAAATAAACATTGATTTTTAACTTATCAAGTATCCAATTAAATTTAGGTTAAATGTCAATTTTGATCCCTCAATTTTGACATTTTGCACAATTTTTGTCCTTTAATTTTTTATGCTTTTTTTAGTTCCTCAACTATAAAAAATGTACTTTTTTAGTTCTTCTGTTCAAATATACACATTTTTAATCTACAAACTTTTAAGTTGAGGAACAAAAAATATGCACATTTGAATAGATTTAATGAACTAATTGACGGAAAGACTAAAAAATTGTATTTTTTATAGTTGAAGGATTAAAAAATGCATAAAAAATTTGAGAGATAAAAATTGTACAAATAAAATTAACATTTAACTTTAAATTTATCCAAGTGAGAATAGTAATAAAATTAATATAAATTTTGTATTTTCTTTTCATACAATCCCAAGCGTATACAATATAGATGAAAAGAAGAATTAAAAAGCAAACCAATGGTTCCACTAAAAGAGATTCTTATTGTACTCCCCAATTCAAACCATTCACACACACATTATAGAAAAGGAAAAGCAAATGATGGAAAAGGAAAAAAGGGAAAAGGAAAGTGTTTCAATTTTTTTTGTTTTTGAAGTTCTTTGTGTGATAAATGGATTGGTCATTCTTATGATGCATCTTACAAAATTTTCTACTTTCCACACGTTAATAGTCATTAACGTGTGGAAAGTTTTTTTGAAATTCTTTGGGTGATAAATGATGCATCTTACAAATTTTTCTACTTTCCACATGTTAATAGTCATTAACGTGTGGAAAGTTTTTTTTGAAATTCTTTGGGTGATGAATGGATTGGCCATTCTTATGATGCATCTTACAAAATTTTTTACTTTCCACACGTTAATGATTTTTTGAAGTTCTTTGGGTGATAAATGATGCATCTTACAAAATTTTCTACTTTCCACATGTTAATAGTCATTAATGTGTGGAAAGTTTTTTTGAAATTCTTTGGGTGATGAATGGATTGGCTATTCTTATGACGCATCTTACAAAATTTTCTACTTTCCACACGTTAATAGTCATTAACGTGTGGAAAGTTTTTTTGAACTTCTTTGGGTGATAATGATGCATCTTACAAAATTTTCTACTTTCCACATGTTAATAGTCATTAACGTGTGGAAAGTTTTTTTGAAATTCTTTGGGTGATGAATGGATT